AACAACAATCCTCGCAGGGAGGTGCTGCGTCAACAAGACTACCTCGCAGGATAGGTCTGCGTCAACAACAATCCTCGCAGGGAGGTGCTGCGTCAACAAGACTACCTCGCAGGATAGGTCTGCGTCAACAAGACTACCCCGCAGGATGGGCTCTGCGTTATCAAGTGTGCCTCGCAGGATGGGCTCTGCGAAACCAAGGACTCCAGACCCTCCGTGACCACGGCTGTCGCTGCCACGAGCCCAGCGATGTAAGACTTGCGCTTCCTCACAGCCAATGAGCCCTGTGTATGTAAAAATGTGCTTCCTCACAGCCAATGAGCCCTGTGACTGTAAAAATGTGCTCCCTCACAGCCAATGAGCCCTGTGACTGTAAAAATGTGCCCCCTCACAGCCAATGAGCCCTGTGATTGTAAAAATTCGCTCAGTCATGCAAGACTTGGCTCGTCAAGGACTTGTTATGGCTCCCCAGCTATGTGCAGGCACCTCTCCGTGGTGCTGGGGACCAGTATTCGAGTATTCCAAGAGTATTCGATGAAGCAAAGACCTGCCCAACAGTTTTTATAGTCTGTCTCCTATCCGAAGAAGCACCATTGGATAGATAGAATGAATATAGATCATCCCAAAATTAATCACCAAGTCGTAACATTCAAACTGGGCTTCCCTCGTTAGCGACCCGTATTACCCCTCTTTCTGCCTTTTCCGCGGTCCGATAATCCCTTCGCTGCAATGGAAATGGCATCTTTCATTCAGGTGTAGAGTAAACAGAGATGTTGTGCGGGGATGCTTGTTTTGATGGAATGTATGTTGTGATGAGAGTTGAGAGACGAGAGTTGAGAGTTGGTGAGAGTTGGTGAGAGTTGGTGAGAGTTGGTGAGAGTTGGTGAGAGTTGGTGAGTCGATGTGTTGATGTGTTGGTTTAATCTGTTGGTTTAATCTGTTGGTTTAATCTGTTGGTTTAATCTGTTGGTTTAATCTGTTGGTTTAATGTGTTGATGTGTTGACTGTTGACGTTGATGAGTCTTGATGTGGATGAGTGTTGATAGTAGTGAATGGTCGGGCGGTGAGGGACTGTCCCACATCACAGAAACTTCGATTGCATATTTTGATTCCGCAAGGGCTTTGAGTCCTTTTCGTCACTGCTTGTTGTACAGCCTCCAACTCAATTGAGATGATCTAATCAAAAATTGCTCAACTATGTTCACGCAATATACTGTACGCTCAAGATCAGAATTACGAAGTGTAGAGCCATGTGATGTGTCTCGAAAATAAGAATCTTGGACTCAGTTCAAGATGATTATGCGATAGGCTCTGTTTCTTGTTTCTTGTGTAGTCAGAGCCGTTCTCTACATGGATATTGTGTCTCGCTCGAACCTGGTTGCAATAAAATGCCTAAATACTAGAGTACTGTAAGAGCTGCTTTCTCTCGAGGCCATCATGTCATTGGGAGCTTTGGCTCGGGAATATCTGATCCGCTCCTTCTACATGTAGGAGCCGTCGCAACTTTGTGAGTAATTCCCCGCCAGTAACTACAATTCATAGTCCACCCAATCTCTCGTAGAAGTCCACTACAGCGATCAAAGCGGCGGTCATTACTTACTGCGGGACTATTCCCGAGTCATGCGATACAGCATGCTCCGCTGCTGATATAGCATGATTGAAGTCCGATCGGTTTCCAACTAGCCATCTGGAACCAGAACTGGTAAAGACACTCTCCACGACCGCCGCTCAGGACCGGGTGGTGTTCGCACAGGGGTGCTCTAATCCACAAGCGGCCCTAGCAGGCATACGCTGAAACTCCTCCCCAAGCAAATAAGTTATGACGTGGTTACATGTTCAGTCTTGTTGTGGTATATGGCTGGTGCAGATCAGGAACCAAGCCGAATCATCGGAAATAATTCCTTCACAATCTACGCGAAAAACCAAGTTGGACCTCACATTGTATTTATAACCTCTTGAATCCCCTCAGAAATAAGCACAATCAATCATTTCTCTGAACTACAACAAGTCTCAGTAAATGCCCGTTTAGTTCACAACGCTAAAGCGGGGCATCACCCAAGTCGGGCAATAATGCCAATTCATACCTTTCCCACTTTCTCAGTGTCACGGTTGGGACCTCCCTACGTGAAAAAGGTCCATATAGTTCAGAATATTCTCAGTCGGAGAGGGCGCGTCACACGTAGAATCTCTTTTTCTGTTTGTTTTCGTAACTTAAATTCAGTTTATTATGGCCTGGAGATTGGTTTGGCCATGTTAAGGCTTGAATTATGAAACCGGATAACAGTCTTGTAAATGAGGTGGTCATGGAACGGGGGAGTCCTTGCTCGAACTTGGGCGTCCATTCCACCCCTTAATCATGACGCGAACGCCTGAGCTCCCTTTTCTCGGATGGCCGTTGAACATATCACGCGCAATACGGACATCATCAATTGTAGTTTTGTACAGCTCCATCTCAAATTCCCTGAAAATTGCGGCGACTGCCAAAAGTATTTCAGCCTTCGCGAGACTAATGGACCGATGTTAGTGCACTGTAGCATTGGAACAAGGAACCAAGGAAATTACACATACGGAATGCCGATGCACTGCCTCGATCCTTTGCTAAAGGCGACCAGGTATTTTTCGAGGTGTTTCCTTTGCGTTGGATCCATCCATCTTTCGGGGACAAAACTTTGCGAATTGGGAAAAAGGTCTTCGTTATGATGTATAAATAAGCTCGTCATACCGACGGGCACCTAAAGTCTGTGGTAAGCGAGCGTTGACTTGAAAGAATAAGTAGGAAAACAGAAGCAAATTACCCCAGGAGGAATGACCCAATCTTTATACCCCATAGGCCGATCTGGGGAGCTACGTTGAAGCCGCGTTGCAACAGCGTTTGTGATTCTGCAAATCGGGATGAGCAACCATATGAGACTTTATTGAAGGAACACTTTCATACCTAAGACCTTCTAGCATAACAGAAGACTAGTATGATCAGCGACCAAATCCTGTTATAAAGTGCAGCCTAGACATGGAATCTCACCAGGTAGGGCATTGCCTCATATTCCACTAATGACGCCGTCCCATCTGGATCCAGCCGATTCAGTTCCTCCCGTAGTTTCTGAAGCTTTTTCGGATTATTTAGGAGGTGGAACGTGATTGTGGCCAGATTTTTGGCAGTCGTTTCTCCACCAGCCACAACAACAGTGAAAACCTCTTGGCTTAAGCGATCAGCTGCCTTCTCTTCTGGTGGGAGCGTGCTCTCCAGAAAAGCATGAAATAATGTGCCTTTGGGCACACTTGCTCTGTCGCCTTTGGAAATGCTGTCGGGGCTTTGGCTATCGATGACTAAGCTAGCTAGGCGCATACTCTCAATTTTCTGGTCGACAACCAGCCCGATGTCAGGATTGATGCTAACGACGAGCCATCGCGGGAGCAGCTCAAACAGACTTATGACCCAGCGGAATTGTTTGAATTGCATGCCCGCGTGCACGATGGCCTGAATTGTTTTGGACCATTGTGGGCTGAAATCAGGGTCATCAAGATAGTGAAAAGATTCTCCCATGGTGTATTCCACGACCACGTCTGTGGTGAAAGCATTAAACGCGTGGTACACATGTAGTGGAGCATGTCTATCCTTCCAGACGCGCATCCCATTGCACAATTTGTCAACCATGCCCCGAAGCATTGGCTCCAGACGTCGGATTCGTTGCTGAGAAAAGAATGGATTCATTGGTTGACGCCGCATCCGATGACACCGATAGTCGACTGAGCCGAATGCGGAAGCTGGTGCCCCAAACATCCCTGTCAAATGTAATGACTTATTTCGCGGGGTATCTCGAGAGTACAGTGTTTCATAATATTCAGGATCGTCAATGTGTAGCTCGTAAGGGCTGATTCGCACGATTGGGCCATATTTCCGATGCATCTCGGCGATTCGAAAGGTGTATTGACCTTCTAGGAATGAATCGTAGTAAAATTCATACCACATTGTGAGAGCGGCCAATCTGGGCCCCGGGAAGTGAGCAATAGGTGAAAGCCATAGCCGATATATAGCAAGCCAAAGCGCGTAGGCCGCCCCCGCAACACTTAGGGAGAGCGTTGCGTGCCACCACACCATGGTCAGCAGAGTAGAAAGTGGAAGAAAGAATCTAGTACAGCCACCGAGGCAAAGAAGGAAAGAGGAAAAGAGGAAATTCAAGCTTAAATGGTGGCCAACGCCCTTTTTATACGCTTCAGCTGTTCCCCACCCGGAAAGATTAGGGTTTCTAGGACACATGAACGAGTAGGGCACAATGCATTGCTTACCTAAGATATTTCTGAAGTCCGCAACGCATCTAGAGAGGTGGAGAAGGAAGCCAAATCGTCCGAGCGCGGTCTTTAGTAACGGAGATGTGTTTAGATCCCCAACTGCGCCAGTTTGGTTATGTCGAAGCTTGCTCAAGTGGACTGAATCCACTAGCACAGCTGCAGCCCGTCGCTTCGGGACGGGTCAACAATCTTTCCCGCGACCCGTGAGTCTACATTTCCCATTAAGGTTCAACCATAAGAAAAGGCAACTGGAACTAGCCTTAAGGTTGGTATTACTTCCACTGCGGTTGTCAACCTTCTTGCCTTACCCAGTCTCATTTACACAGTCTAGTTCAACTTTAACTTCTTTTCACGGTGGCCTGCTCTTCTGCTCTCTGTGATGCATGACACAGGTTTCTCCCCGCTTCACCCAGGGAACTTTATTCGCTCACGAAAAGACCGCAGGCCAAAGCAAAGGATTCGACCTGCTTTAAGTTCGCGTCCTAGCGCGTAAGCCGTATACGTACTTTTGTAATCGGATCGGCGTTGGTTGGCCCGCAGCCCGTTAAAACAAAATCATCCGGCTTGGAGACTTGCTCTTCCAGGTTGTGAAAGTGTAAGCAGCAGCAGTCAGCCAGGTTTAAATCGGTTGACAATCATATATCTGTCGCCCAGGGGAATGTGCTTCTGTTGAGCCAGCTAAGCGCTTATGCGTATCGATTGGCCTCTCAGATCTGTTTCATATAGACGATCCTAGCACCCATCATTCAACTCGTGAACGGGGTGTATTGTGGTGCATCCAGGAGACTCCCGTCATAGATTGAATGGCGACAGGCAAAAGGAGTCCTTCTCCCCCGCTTTTGACTGGCAAATGTGACGCTTGGGCCACCCCAAACTGGTACTTTTGTGTCCCGGGACGCCCGCTTTTGCAGCTTTTTTGGGGTTAGTTGGCCCACAATTGAATTTCGTGTCTTCTACATTCTCGAGACTTATCTCCGCACCAGTTGTTGAGAATCGTGTCTTGACCATGGCCGACCAACCTATTGCTATAGCAAGTATTGCTAGTCCTTTCTATAATATTGAAGCCTGACGGAGTTATTTAAGGATCCGGATTTGTATGCTATTGACAGTACCTACTATCCCGATGATTGGCAATCGTAAGTGGCTCGTGCAGCAACTATTCCGGGTCAGATATAAAGCTTACCTTTGGTTTCATCCAGGGAAACCACGTCCATCGGATCTTCGATTTACCGAGGTTTGATGGAAAATGGCAGACGGTAGGTATATCGACAATGGCCAAACCAGAAGACTAATTGCAAACTCCAGGTACCAAACACTCCGGAACAAAGACTACATGTAAGCAGGCGAGTTGAGACAAGCGTTTCATCGCGCGATCTCACGCATCGTTATAGCCTTCCTTCCGACGAACGACAGTTCGAAGCGTACGAAGCTGGGTATGTCTTTGGTCAATGCAGTTATCTGCATTACAGTATCCTCGCTAATGAACATAAGGCATCTTGTTGCTCTCATCATGGTGTCGGAAAGCGAAAACCCATTCTTCCTATCTCCTATTGGTAACTCGCCCCAGCATATTCTGGACATAGGAACTGGCCGGAGGACCTGGGCTATGTACGTGTGTTATCTTATCATGTTTCTTATCGAAATGCTTCCTACTGACTACATCAAGTGACGTTGCCGACATGTTTCCTAGCGGTTAGTTTCCACAAGCATTCTTGCACTTTCATGCTCCTGACGGGCCACAGCAACCGTTCGTGGGGTCGATCTTTTTCCGCCACCGGTTTCCTGGATGCCCCCAAATTGCATTCTGGAGGTCGACGACGTTCAGCAGGATTGGACATGGCAAGGGTCATTTGATTTGATACATATGCGTATCATGATCGGGTCATTTGATGGAACAGAATGGGACAGCCTCTACCAGCAATGCTTTGAGTGAGCAGGAGTGATGACCCTAATTGATATCTGGAATAGCGTCTGACAGTTCGGCACTAGGAAACTTTGCCCGGGTGGGTGGATTGAGCAATTGGAGGTCAGTCCCATCATTGAGACTGATGATGGTAGCCTGCCCGCTGACAATATCCTGAATGACTGGGGTCCGAACATGCTGGGTTGCGGTGAGCGCGCCGGTCGGGGCTGCGACACCTTCGATACTATGGCCAGGAGAATTCGAAACGCGGGATTTGTTGATGTTCATGAGAAACTTTACAAATGGCCCATTGGGCCGTGGCCTAGAGACCAGAAACTGAAGGATGCAGGCGCCGCCAATTTCGAGCACTGGGTTAATGGGATAGAGGGTTGGTGTATGTGGTTGCTCACCAAGTTCGGCCACCCGCAGCCCTGGGACAAAGAAGAAGTCTATGTATATGTAGCCAAGCTGCGAAAAGAGCTTAATAATCCACGGTTTCATATATGGCATCAAGGGTAAGTGGTCGGTTCTTCTGTCTCTCCCTTTGGATTTTTTCAACTGACGACACAGACGGAGAGTATGGGCGCGGAAACCGATGCCAAGAGATGCGCCGGATAATTCACAAATTCGTTCAACGAGACCATCATTCCAACCGTCACCTTGAGCATCGGTGGAGAATATTCAGCGCCATTTAACGCAATAAGTGGGAGGTAGAGAGCTCGGCGTGTCATTATTCCCGTGTTGAGCGAGCTATTGCTAGAATGAGGTGCGGATATCAACCCTCCAGGACGCAATTATGGAACGGCTTTTGCAAGGCGCCTCTTGGTGAAGAGAGAACAAAAAAAACACCAAATACATCTTCGCCACAGGACCCTGATTGTAGCTACATTGTATCGTAAAATACGAAAGCATTACATGACAAGTTTTCACCTCATAATGAAGGACTGTCGACGAAGGAGTGTCATATTGGCCTCTTGGCCTATTGACTGCAGTGCTGCTCGTATTGTTGTGCTGAATGACATGTTGATTTTTGTCGTTGCGACAATTGATTCGTATCTTCAAGGACAAAAGCTCGTCCTGTATATTCTCATTAGTAGCGATTTTCTCTTCAAATTAGTTTGCGGATGGGAAGTGAGAGTACTCTTCCGGGGTCTTGCATCCCTCCTATGCAAATTCCTCGTTGGCATCCTTGTCAACATTTATGGTAGCTAGAATAGGGAAATAAGGGTAAGAGATGCTGTCCCGATGGAGATATGCTTTATCTGTCTAAATAGCGCGGTTGTCGGTCAATTAATAAGCGTGGGAAAAGCGAAATCGCCGGAGTCAAAGTAGGTCCATTCCTTCCGATTGTCAGGTAGCACGCGTCAAGTAATTTACATTCTAAAGCCCTTGTGATTTTGACCAACTAAGCCTCCACGCGGGCTTTCCGTACTTGCTCAAGAGAGGTTTCTCAATTCCAGACAATAGCTGGGGGAAGATATCAGTAGCTCTACGAAAAGAATATTATTCGTGAATATTTGCGAAAATGAGTAAATAAAATAAATATGAATAAGGGACTTAATTGCTGAAGTCGAGTTCAATCCCTACCTCCGCCGATATAATTGGCAGGTAATCTTGAGCAGCCTTCGTCATTGGTCGAAAATAAAATAAATTCGTCTTCCATCGCTTCAGTACCCATTCTTCGTCTGCGTCCCCAATCCTATGGTGGGACCAACTCACTGGTGGTGAGTCCAGATACCTATCAATGTCCGATAAAAGCGTCTGCTGGGATGGCTGTATTTTTCGGGAGATAGAATGTAACCAAGATAGTACTTCGCCAATTCAACCATTAAAAGTGCCAGATGCCAGATTCACAAAATGGAACTTTCTTCTTTATCGGGTGTCGTATTGCCAATCCTTCTGTCGTGATAATTTGCGACCCAATAGAGTCCCTTCGTCGCAATGTAACGGTGTAATGATGTTTCTGCCATTGAGGTGTAAACAGGGATGTGAGTGTTGATGAGTGTTGTGGTGGGTGAATGGTCTGGCGGGGGAGTGGTGGTCAACGTCTCACGGACGTAGCGCGGAGGTTTTCTTGCCAACTCACCCACATGATAGATGTATCAAATTGCATTGTATCAATTCTGTGAGCCATTCCTCCTCCCCAGCTGACCACTTAGTGAAGTTAGCATACACTATCAGGAATTTGTGGCCGAATTGTTTAGGGCAATCCGGACTTCAGGTGATGCTGATACCCAGCATATCATCGCTTTTGTTCGGTTGGAATCATGGACCAGTGAGATTCACAATATGTTAAGTCACCTCCTCGCGGAAAACATACTTCCCGGTCCTCGGCCTGACTTGCACGGAGCAACAGCATGGAACATCATGTTTAGCCGTATCGCCGTAAAGAACGTATTGGATTTAAGTATCTAATGAGTCATTGTAAATTACCGTATACTCCCATGGAATCTAGGTAGGGATATGAGGGGATGGAGTGGACCTAGCGCTCTAGCTGATTCACGCCTACTCCCTTTCTTCTGTTTCCTACGTGGCCTGTGCCTTCATCTCCTTGACGACGGCTGAGAGGCTGCTGTCGAGTACACTTTATGGAGTCGATCATGTGAGAATATAGGTAATAATCTGCATCACGCCGACTCTATTACCTCCGCCTTGAAGAAAACAAAAGGTCCACTGACTGGAAGCCTACCTATCGTAGAATCTTCATTCACTGCACTGCACTGCACTGCACTGCACTGCACTGGTTAGGCAGGACGGAAGATCGACTAGGGTAAAGGTCCGCTAGCCCCACAGTGAAAATCGGGGTTTTTCATTGGATTTCGTGATTCGCCGCTCACTTGATGGTACTCCACAATGACGTGGATGATGTTGTGTCGCATTAGATAATCGAGAATCCGACAACCTCTGGACAGCGGAAATCGCACCGCCTTGTACTGCGCGTTCATCGTTCGCTCGAATCTCTGAAGACAGCTAGTCAGCTCTTAGGAGCATGCAGACCACCACATCGTATGCTGCCACCGCAGCCCCCATTTTTGTGTGATAAAAAGCTTAAAGTGCTGTTTTGCACAGCGAAATGAGCCTCGATTTTCAGCCGACCGCGTCGGCACAACAGTTAGCCGACATCATTCCACATGGTCTAGCAATTCTCAATCAGAAATGCGAGCTGGTTTCCGCGAACTCCAGCTTCCGAACGCTGATTCCGTGTTCGGATGGAAAGTTTCCAGATAGTTGGTTACAGTCAATCCACTCAGACGACTTCAACCGGGTGAATGCTTATTTCAAGGAGGCTGCGTCATCCAAAGCAGCGCTGCGCGTTGAATACCGGGCTCGGAATCAGGACACATGGTGTGTGCTGACTCTAAACTCTCTTCATGCAAATATGCATGATTTTGGCCTTGACGCCCTTGGCGGATTTATTATAACGGTCGCGGATATTACACCAGAGAAGAGGGCCGAATTTTCCCAGAAAAAGCTTGCGAAAGACGCGCAAGAACATAAAGAACTCCAAGAGCGATTCATCGACATGATTAGCCATGAGATACGAAACCCTCTTTCAGCGATATTACACTGCACCGAGGATATTATTGCGGCAGTACGCGAAAAAGAAGACTGCAAAGTGCCACTTTCACGCATCACCGAGTCAGCGGAGACCATCTGTCTGTGCATTTCACACCAGAAAAAAATTCTCGACGACGTCCTTACTTTCTCGAAAGTTGACGCATCGATGCTTCTTCTATCACCACGAAGAGTACAACCGAAAATACATTTTGCGGGCCCAATTTCTATATTTCGGCCGCAGCTGCAAAGGAATGACATACGGTTCGATTACCAAGCTGACTTTTCTTATGCGGAGTGTGGTATCGAATGGGTTATGGCCGACCTTGATCGAATGGGTCAGGTTCTCATCAACCTTCTCTCCAATGCAATAAAATTTACTGCCAGATCTAAGGACTCGCGAGAAATCCGGGTCTCAATTGGCGCTTCAAAAGACCGCCCTTCATCATATCCTCCCAATGTTGTCTTTTTTCGATCGGGCGAGTCTGCGCTCGGCCTGGATAAAACAGCCTTACCTGAGTGGGGCGACGGAGAATTTGCATATGTCATGCTCGCTGTCAAAGATACTGGTATTGGCATCGATGGTGATGCCCAGATGCGGCTTTTTGAAAGATTCAACCAAGCTACTCCAAGGACGGAAGGAATCTATGGTGGTTCTGGTCTGGGTCTCAACATCAGTAGAAGACTGTGTCATCTACATGGTGGGGAGATTGGCGTGAGTTCGAAAGAAGGCGGGGGAAGTACATTTGGCTTTTTCTTCCGAGTGCGCAAGTGTGCTTACACTGGTGGCGAGAGCGTTGGCGAAGATGACATCTCCGAAGTGGACAAGTTATCTCACGGCATCCAATCGTTAGGCAGGGAATTGTCCGATGTCAAAGGATCGACTCAAGGCATTCGGATACCAAAAGACCCTCCGCTAAGTCAAATTGACGAGTTGAGACAGGGAGGCCCCGTGGATGAAAGAACGAGGCATACACATGAGATTGAGCGACAAACAATGATTCGCGATAATGAAAGAGCTCAAAGCCACAACGAGGAAATTACAAGTCGGCGCATACTCGTGGTTGAGGATAATATCATTAACAGGAAAATCCTCTCTCGAAAATTGGGTTCACTGGGATTCGAAGTCATCGAGGCCAATAATGGCCAAGAGGCTTTGGATGCTTACCAGAACAGCAGCCTGGATTGCATCCTCATGGACCAAGAAATGCCAGTGATAAATGGTAATGCAGCATCCAGGCGTATTCGAGAGCTTGAGAAAGAAAGCGATACGCACATTCCTATTGTGGGAATGACAGCCAACGTCAGAGCGGCGCAAATATCAGAAATGCTCGAGGCTGGGATGGATGATATAATTAACAAGCCGTTTCGTACTGAAGAGATTGTTGCGAAGATTAGTCAATTCCTTCCTTTGGCTTTGGAAATGGCAAATAAATGAATTTCTGGCAGGGTTGTCACATTGAACCGGGAGGTGTCGCAGCATCGCGAGCCGAAATACCAATTTTAGATATTACAATTTTATTCATATTCTCAGGGCGCCCTTTTCGCATGTTGTAGTTTCAGCGAAATGACGCGATATAATAGCAATGCCGGTCCATGGGTCCATCACGGGGTGTTGCGACTCATGATGCACCAGGCGTGGATCAGACGATCAGCATTGATCCTACTAACTAATGTATAGTTCAGGAAAAGTGCCTCCATTTTAGAAAATCTCTCGAGAGAGGCCAGGCTTAGACAGCTTCGCTGGCCTTGACATATATGCTTCCTTAGTATTCATCGTATTCGATTTTAACGCTTTTTGTCAGGCGGAGTCCCGACTTCATGAGATCAACCATGGTCTGCTGCGGGGAGAACATGGAGGAAGCCCGATCGGGGTCTAGCAAGCGCCACCTTAAACCAAACCTGGTAGAGACGTCTCCGCCATAATCATTGAAAACTAATGTCAGTGGGGTGATATCCGCGCGGGGTTGCTCTAGTTCGCTTGTAGTCACAGCAGGCATGCGCCTAAACCATTCCCCCGAGGGGCAATCATGACATGAGCACTGATTAGGGGTAGATGATTCAAAATAGGTTGTAGGAGACTGTCCTAGAGGTCACATAGCCGGATGGCTCTTGGTGGTACTGTTATAGACATCAACCCAGCTTCACGGTGAATTGCTCGAACAGTGATATGCGGGAGCGCGGCGAGTTCGACAAATACATCATAGATGCTCAAAGGACAGTGGGATCGGGGACGTAGAGAACAAATCTGGCGATTTGCTGACAAGATCTGCTTGTGCCGCCAATTGCGATACGTTAGAAGACGATCTCGATGGACAAAACATAGACGCGATCAGCTTGACTAGGCTGCAGCTGCAGTGATATTCAAGCAGATGGGCCTTTGCACATATTGCCTGGGCTCTAATAGAACAAGGTGTGTTTAGGAATCAAATCTACTGACCATCTGCTCGAACAGGAAACAACACAACACTTCCGACACACTTATGCTGCAGCACTGTGTATGGTCTGATTGGTTCGTTTCCGCTCGCTCGTATATGTCGACACGCTCAGCAACACGGAGAGGGTTCAGATGGGACTGTGTCAGACGGTAGTTCTTGGGGTCATGGGCCCTGTCTTTGGTTTGGCTGTCCTCGGTCTTGTCCACTCGATTCGAAGCTGGGATGGTCATGTCAACTTATTCGGCCCGAACTGACGGGACTTTCGCCTCACCGTCTGCTTGCACGCAGACTTGGACTAACAACCTGGCCGTCTCCGAAGGTACTGCTCGTCCGCCATGAAGCAAGAAAGAAACACCAAGACTTCTCGGTGTCTTTCAGAGTTCCAGGCTCGGAAAGACACTTGACGCATTCCGGGGACAACGATGGTCACCCATTGGACGCCAGGAATCCAAGCCGCAAGCAAGCTATCCCTTCTGGGTGTTCGATGCGTAGAGACAGTAGCATACGCTCAGTGTAGTTTGGATCTTGCATCAGATAGGCACACCAACGCATGATCTGATGCATAGAAACCGCTTGGAGAAAGAAGCGAGATAGACGATATAAGCCGTACGGTGAGTCATGGTCGATGCCACCAGTAATCATAGGGCGAGGGACAGAACATTCGATCGCATTGGTATAGGGGAGCTCGGGCAAATAACGTATTTGCTGGCTTCGCATTCGAGTGGGGGGAATCTGAGGGTGTCTTCCTGTTGTGGGTCCCAGTCAGCAAGTATTGATCCAGTTGCCCCACGAGATGTTGTACTTTACATTGTTCACGAAGAACCTCTTGAGTGTACGGTTGAGACCGATAATCAATGAGAATTGTGATCATACCAGCTTACCAACTAGATCACTTCCGATTCTCTTCGGCAATGCAGTCACCAATCATGCCATGTTATATCCAGGCTCGTCGCAGATCTGCGGCTGTCGCTTCGAGGAAACCGCGCTCGATGCACCGCGCAAGTTTACAAGACGGCAAATGCACCTGTCGAACCCACCGGTGACATGAAATTGTATAGTCGTATTGAGAGACCGCTTCGTGAAGACACCGAGAGGTTGAGGCACTCCGTCGTCCATGGTGTGAAGGCGGTGAGGAGGGCGGAAGACACGATGGCGCGTCTGCCTCTCGGTCTTATCTGACTCGGCGGGAATAGGTTACTCGCCTCCAGAGTTTTCGCGGTTGGCGATGGGCTGCTCCTACAACGGCATGAAGATGTCAGTGGTGTTCGTGTCTATGGCACAGGCTTGGCACCAATCATCGGACCCGGCGCAGCAGGAGGCGCGATATTCCACTCACCTTACCGAGGTTTATGCGTCCTGTTGGTGGCCCACAACCTTAATTTGCGGTACTTCAGGACATGCTGCATGGTTTGAAGTGACAGGGCCAGAAATGGTGTGTAGGCCATGACTTTGCGCGGAGCTCTCACGGAGTACTGGTTCGGACTCTGCTGCGCTGTCAACGATTTCTTGTCCATCATTAGCTTGTAGATCGGGGAGGTACTCCATTACTCACATGTTCTGGAGGTCAATACTAGAGAAGAAGACACGGAAATGGGCTCCGAGGTTTTTGCGCTGGTGTATATTGGACGGAATGCACGGATTTCTGTTTCGCATCGTCTTTGAAGTTAGTCCAGTTTCGGAAATGGTCGCGCTGAAATCTACATACCTGGTATGGAAATCGCTCTTTTGCATCGATATATTCAGGGGCGGGACAGTGGTGGGCTGCTATGGTGGACAGATGTTCGCATAGATACTTTGACCAGCTAACCCAAATCTTGTTATTAGATCGGCTGGCATGGGTAGCAAAGTGGACCTGGTGGTAGTCACGTCTCACAAGCACTTTCTAGCTTGTCGGTCCACAACGTAATTACAGTATAGATGTCAGTACAGTGGAAATCCAGTAGGTCAAAGGGAAGAACTTATCAGGTGCCTCAAACCGAAGGCCTCGACTCTGCATAGCCAAGTGATAGTATTGGAGAACAAATTGCTGGGAGCAGAGGACGTATTTATAGGCTTCTCGGCTCCTGTCGCGTACGTGCTCTATTAGGGAGCAAACGTTGAAGGACACGACGCCTATCCCAAGTGAGGCCTGTTGCGACCCATGCCTTCGTTCTACCGCAACTATTTGCAGCGGAATTCTGGTGTCATTTTAGATGCCCAGCGAGAAAAATGTGCTAGAGTCATGTTGAAAATGAGTCAA